TTCCCTACTGATAAAGATGGCTTTCTATATGAAAAAGATAAGCTCTTGCACAAACCTCCAGGAGATAAAATTTTGTCAAATGGGTTTTTTAAATATCTTGAACTATCCACAGCATTTTACAGTAATTGGGGCTTCTCATCTCTGTGCATAAAACCAGCCTAATAACACCAACTTTAACTATTCTTTCTTTCAGCTGGTTTTAAGAGACCTGTCGTGATATTTGGCCCTATTGCAGACGTAGCTATGGAAAAGTTGTCAAACGACTTGCCTCACCTGTACCAAACAGCAAGTAAGTCCTCCTTTTAACATAGTGTGTTTAGTGTCTGTCAATGGGAGGATGGATAATTTGAGAATCACATCCTCACAGCTACCCCAACACTAAGATGAAGTGTTGTCTTTGCAGAGACAGAACCCAGAGATGCAGGTTCAGAGAAGTCGACTGGAGTTGTGCGCTTAAACACCGTGAGGCAAATCATTGAGCAGGTAAATTCCTGTGAAAATTGCTTGTGCTCAAATGTATATTATTGTATTTGTTTCCTCCTAAAACTTGGGAATGTCCTCAGATATTCACTCTATTTATTTTTATGTTAAGCAGATGTGGTGTAAGGATGAGGCTACTCTGAAAGTGTTGAACAACAATTTTTATTATTTCAGTTGATGCCTTCAAGTGGCAAGGTGAACCTGATATTAGAAGTTAACTTCCCCTTTCTGTGCCTACTGTAAATTTAAACAGGGGTGCAACTGCACTCTATTGCATACTTTATGAATTTGCCAGGGTCGCCCTTACTGTCTTTCAGTACTCCAACTGCTCACAGAGTCATCAAAAGGTTAACATTTTAATTTACCTCACTTTATTACTGTATTCACTGAATGGGGAATGACTCTGATAACTAAGTTCCTTTGTTTATTTGTTTGGTTTTGGTTAGTGGGTATTTTTTTCCCTGTGACTGTATTAGCTTAATATTATCTTAAGTATTATCTTAAATACTTTTAAAAATTTAAAGATCAGTAAATAGCTGGAAATCAAGAAGCCCCCAAACCAAAACTCAGTTAAGTGAGGAGGACCCCCTGGGGCACATGCTGGAGAACCCCATCTGTCTTGGCACTATAGGTAGCTCAGAAGCCATCTTTAGTGCAGACAAAAGTCCACAGATGGCACCACAGAACAACTGCGGCAGTGGAAGCTGTGCTAAGGACACGTGTAGAAAGAGGTTGTTTAACTTTCACTTCCTACTTAAAGGACAAGGGTAGGGAATAGGTATACTTTAATTAATATGAGTTATTTTATTAATACAAAAATGTGGGCATTCAGACCAAAACCATTCCGAAAATTAAATCTGAAGGTTAAAAAAAAAAAAAAAAAAAAGGTTGTGTTTCCTGAATGGAATTTAACTATGAAAAACAAATCTAACTCATTATGGCCTTATTTGGAAGAAAACATCCTAGTTTTCCTAGGCTGCCGTATTCCCTTACATCTCATCACCATCTCTTGTCTTCCTGAGGAAGAACACTGATGTGAGCTTTCTTGTTAACAGGATAAACATGCCCTGTTGGATGTGACTCCTAAAGCAGTGGATCTGCTAAACTACACCCAATGGTTTCCAATTGTAGTCTTCTTTAACCCAGACAGCAAGCAGGGTGTGAAAACCATGAGACAAAGGCTTTGTTCCACATCCAACAAGAGCTCCAGAAAGCTTTATGAGCAAGCAAACAAGCTGAAGAAAACTTGTTCCCACCTCTTTACAGGTAAGGAAGATGATGTGTGCAGCTGGCTGGATACTGTGAGAACTGTGGATGTGAACGTGTAAGACTTGAGACTTGCTGCCTGTAAATTAAATCATATGTAGGATATAAATAAAGGGGTGTGAAGGCAGTAGTCATGAGTAATTTCTTCCCTGCTTCTTTTCTAAGTTCCATGTTCTGCTGTATTTTAATATCTGAGAGATTGGGACTGAGTATACTGTCATTAAAAGTTGGTGAACAAGTGATTTAATAGGCCTTGGGAGTGGAAAAAAACGTACAAACAGAAATACTGTGCTTTTGTTAGTAATTTAAATGAAATAGTTGTTTACTACATTAGCAAAACAAACAAAAAAAATTCAACAAGACAAGAATGGATTGTATTGCATTTGCTGCATATGTATACTTTTGTCTTTCACTTTTTACAGCCACCATCAATTTGAACTCAGCCAATGATAGCTGGTATGGCAGTCTGAAAGACACAATTCAGCAACAGCAAGGTGAAACAGTATGGGTATCAGAAGGGAAGGTAGGCAATCAGTCCATGCTGTAGGTAGTAAACTGTGCAGGTGTCTGAATATCATCTCTAACCAGTAATAATTGCTCGAAGTGTTGTTTTTCTGTGTTGGATAGCTTGGACAAGTAGCTACTTGGTGTCTTTCTTGGTAGCCAAAACTGATGTGTTATTGTTCTTTCTGTTGTACTCTGGAGCTTTCATCAGTAACGCTGTGGCTAGGGGAGAATGTGCTAAGGACTACAGGACTGGAGTAGAGCTTCTATTCCGCAAGCTCATTGCTTAAGGAATTCTTTAGCATGATATTAAGACCTAATCTAATTCTTAATTCTTCAGTCTTTAACTTTATTTCTTTTCTAAATTCTTTCTTGTATCTGTGTAGATGGACGGTATGGAAGATGATGCTGATGATCGCATGTCTTACCTTACTGCAATGGGTGCTGACTATTTGAGCTGTGACAGCAGACTGATCAGTGACCTAGAAGATACAGATGGAGAAGGAGGTGCATACACTGACAATGAGCTTGATGAGCCCTTGGACGAGCCACGGATTTCATCTGTTAGCCGATCCTCCGAGCCCGTGCATCACGAGGAGGTGAGATGCCTGGATTTTGAGCCAGGCTGTACTTTGGATTTCCAGAAAGCCTTGTGTGTATGGTTTCAAAACAAAAGGGGAAGATGGCTCTTGCAACTGCAGTTGACAACAATCTGACTTTTAGCTGCAGCATAACCTTAGCTCTAATAGCATTTTAAAGGTGCATTTTGTTAAGGAAAGTAACAATAGCTTTGTTTTTCGGCCTAGCTATAGGTTTCCTGATGATGTCTTGGCACCTTGAATGTTGCAATTAGTTCTCCAATGATTGTGTTAAGGCGTTTGACTCCTGGTTCCCAAAATAGTTGACATGAACAGATGAAAAATGATTGAATTACTGGATGCTGCAGTGAATTTGTCTCTCTTAATTTATCTCTCTAATTTATTTTCTTTTCATAGAGTTTAAAGAAATCTAGCCCAGAACCAAGAGCTCAGATGAGAAAGGCTGGTAGCAGGGAGATTCTCAGAGATCCTAGTCCACCTCCAGCATTCAAGCCTGAACCACCTAAGGTAGGCTTGTAGGAACAAATCTAAATGCAAAGTTCTGCTATTTAGAGAACTTTCAGGATGACACATTAGGGAGAGAACCAAGAGTTGTCAGAGTATTATTAGAAAAGAGGATAAAAGTGAAGAGAAAGAAAGAAAGAATGAATTGATGTGTTACAGAGAGAACACAACAGAGCGAAAATTGAGTGGAATACACAGTTCTCCTCAAATATGTGTGATTGCTATAGAGAGTAAAGAATTTGACTCCTTTCTGTGTTTGTTAAAAAGGTAAAGGAATCATTTTAGTACAGCAAAAACAAACCTTATAGCAAAAAAAAAAAAATCTCATGGCTCTACACAGCACAAAAATATAATCTGCTGTCTTTGGAATCAGTCTCCATCTGCAGGCTTGGTTAAAAGCAGCTATTCAAACCTTGCCCAAGAAGGATACAGGAAAAGATTAAGCTTAGTTGGAGAAGCTCCTATTTTCCTCTGCAATTCATGATCATTCAAAATATATTCAGTTTGGGCAGAATATGTCTACATGTAAAGGAAATAAAGAAGGGCTAGAAATAGGCTTGAGTTCTGTGCACTTCTAAACTCCAGGTGCTGATATTCAACATGCAGTAGAACTGACAAGTCTGTTCTTCATCTGGGAGTCACCTCGTCTCTGCACTGTCCCCTGTCACATACTGTAGTTTTGGTAATCTTGAAAGGATGAGACAAATGTATTTAAATGTGAAAGTGTTCTACAATTCGATGTACACATCAGATTTGGTGTATGACTGTCTGGAGAAAATAATTCGTATACTTTTCAAATAACTGCTGTGAACAAAGATAAGCACTGTTTAAATACATAGATCTGAAGTTAGTAGTTTTGCCTTCGTTTGAAGGTTCTGGAATTGCTGATGTAAACTTTGTGGGTTTCATACTTGCAGGGGAAATTGCAAAGCAAAGAGGATCTGTATGATTTTCCCAAGAGCTATGATTCCAAACCAAGCAGCATGGCTGTCAGCAGTGAGGCTCCAGCTGTAGCCACTAAGCCGGTACCGCCGCCTGTTTCTACGAAACCTGTCTTTGGGCGTCCTGTCATGAGAAACTCTCAGCCAGCAGCCCCAGCCAGTGAGGAGGAGGAGGAGAAGTTGGAAGAGGAAGGAAGCGAACAAGAGAACACTCCAAAATCTGTGCTGAGGAAAGTCAAAATATTTGAGGAGATGGATCATAAGGCAAGGATTCAAAGAATGCAGGAGCTACAGGAGGCCCAGAATGCCAGGGTATGAGGCAATGCACACCCCCTTCTCTGCCCTTTCCCACTGAGAGTGAAAATTACGCCCCTGTATTACAGCACTTCTGGAGGGAGGACTGTGGCATGTAAAAAATAAGGCATATATTAAGCCTTCCTATTGTAGCTATAGCAAGCAAACCTTTAAAAAATGTCCTCTTGCTTTTGGCAATCCATTGTTTTCACATGTGTTTTGAATTCATACTCTAGCAGAATAGAGGCAGGATCTGTTAGCACTTACTGTTTCAGATGTAGCTGTGACCTACTTTAGTCAGCCTAGGATTTCTGATGGAGAGGTTTAAAAAAGAACAGTTATTTTCTTATGCTTTTTTTTTTTTTTAAGCTTGAAATAGCCCAGAAGCACCCGGATATTTATGCTGTCCCTGTCAAAACGCAGAAGTCAGACCAGAACTGGCCCCAGCCTGTAAGGTAAGGTGCACCCAGCTTAAAGCATTCTGTCTGGATTGCTTACTTCACCAGCAAGAGGATCTTGCCAGCTTTTACTCCTAAAAATAATCCTGCCACCTCTTGCTACATTTTTGTTGTGGTGTTCCTCAAAAACTGCTGCAAAATTGGGGCAAAATTTCAGAGAACTCTTCCTGTTTTTCAATATCTAAACACTATATTATTTTACTGAGTGATTTTCAAAGCCTTTTTTTTTTCCCCAAATAGTCTTATTCACATTTCTTGGCGTTTACATCCTTGATGTCTATTCTTTCCATTCTAGAAGCTTGTGATTGTTTGTCTATAGTTACTGTTTCAATTATTTTATACTACTTAATTACTTCAAAATACTTGCTCAGTTACAGATATACTGTGTGGGTAGGGAAACTGAGTACGAGACTTGCCTGAGGTCACTCATCAAGGGACAGCTGGGGAGAGAACTCCCTTATTTTGAATCTGAATCTCATTAAAGTCAGAGACTCTTTCATTAAATTCCAGTGAATTTTGAATTCGTTGTCCAGTGCATCATGTTACCCTGAAAAAGCAAGTATTTGTATGACTTGGATGGGTCACCTATGCAAGAGCCAGTTCATCACATGACGAGTCTTGTTTTCTGCCCTGGAGAACAGAGAACTTCCTTTTTCTTTCCTCTTAGTCGTAGCCAATGGAAATAGGATTTTCTGTGGGGGGAGGAGGCAGGAGGAGTGGGGGAGGGCATGAATCAGTTCCTTTGGTGTCATGGTATATAATCTAAAGTAAAAAAGTGGAAATCAAAAAAGGGATAATTTCAGGGTTTTCTTGATAGGCTCAAGACAGTAGGCGTGCGCGCTGTTTTTTTATACAATGTCAGGGGCTGCTTAGGAAGTAATAAAAAGTCTTGTTTAACCATATGTGCAGATCATTTGGTGACTCACGGATATCAGTGGCATTGCCTTTCTAGCAGAACATTAATGACTGACCTGGGAGGAGTGTTCAAGCACTGGGGGGTTATGAGAAACATGAATAATATTTTAGTTTTGTACAATATGGGATCTGAAAAATGCTAATTCTTGAAACTGGTGAAATGCCCTTCCTTTTCTCAGTAGGTCTTTTCTAATGTATCTGCTTCATGCCACATTAAATGAATAGCAACACAGTATATAAAAAGTAGGTGTGTGGGTTTTCACTGCCCAGCTTTTAAGTACACCCAGCAACAGAGAGCCTTGAGTGGGCAGGGAAGGTACCAATTTAAGAGATGTGTCGCACAGGGAGTCTTCAGAGCTGGCAAGCCTGGTGACAGGAGACTGCAGATGCGAAAGAGAAAGCAGGCTTGTACAGAACACACTGTTTAAAGGGGGATGAGGAAAGTGTGGGTCACCTTTGGTTGCAAGTGGAGTAGCAGCAATGCCTGAAAACCTCTTTCTGCTCAGGAAATGCCTCCAAAGCTCTGAAGCTCTGGAGTGGGATGCTGTATTTAATGTTTGTAAATGTAGCCATCTCCCAGGCAGGCTCCCTGGATTTGATTGGGTCCTCAGGCTCCGCTTGCAGCAGCGAGGGGTCCCTGCAGGCCACGTTACCAGGGCCGTGCACATGCTGCTTGTGCAGGGTGGGTGAGAAGGGCCCCGCTGGCTCTCTGTGCACGGCAATAAAGCGCGTGCGCCCTGGGCCCAGGGAAGCCCTCCTGCAGGGCTCAGGGTGGACATAAGCTTTTCCTGTCTCTCGTCCCTCTCGCTGTTAGCTCCAGAGCTCCGGAACCGCAGAAACCCCCCGGCAGAGCCTAGGAGCTGTAGGCCGGCTCGCCGGGAGACAGCCAGAGGGGAGCGCGAGATAGTTTGGAAAACCTGTATCTTTGTTGGGGATAGTTAGGGGGCGATCTGCCCGACTTAGACATATCCATGCGCTGGAACTGGAAGAGTTCATTTTTTGGGGATATTACTGTACAAGCATCTAGGAATAGAAATCACTATTGCCTGAATGCAAATGCCTATTTTGAAAGGACCAAAACCTATTTTAAAGTGTGTGTTATTTCTTGATATTTTCATATTTTAATGCAAAAACTCTTTTCTTCATTTTATAATATTGCCTTCTTGGACTGTTGTATGAAAGTATGATCCAAGAGATATACTTTTTAATGCTAGATAGTTAAATATGAAGGAGTATCTGAAGAAAGTGCCTTTAATAAAAAGCATCACAGATTGTTTTAACATCTGATATTTGTGCAAAGCCATAACACACTAAAAAGTGACTGATTGTTTTACCTAACTTTTGATCAGTCCTATGGCTACAATTTCCCTTTCATGTTGTTTTTATAAGTTCATAGGTGCATATGCAATATTTCATAAATACTGACAGTACATAATAAAGGTGCACTTCAGTGGATTGGGGAGACCAGGATGTGCTGAAACTAAAATTGATGTAGAAATTCAATCATGTATTAAAATTTACACAGTCCGCGAAATAATAAAGAATATATTCTAAACAAATCTCAAGCATTTCTTTTCTTTAACACCAAATAGCCTGCTAGAGCCTCTGGATTTCATGAGTGTATTTGCAGTGGTAAAGGGTCGTGTCTCCTACTACTCACTTAACTGGGAAACTTCATCATTGATGTTGTTTCCCATTGTTCTAAAAAATCATATTTAAATTTGTTCTGATTTGAAGGAAAACTAGCACAGGCTATGGACTTACTGTAAGATGCTTCTCTTTTAGATCATTAATTTCTGTTCTTCATCCTTTATCTCACTATATAAAAAGAAGTCTTGAAAATGTCATGAAAAATCTTTTTTATTATTATTTTTACTTATTTATGTGATTAGAAAAAACAATCTTATAGCATTCCCTTAAGAGAAGATCCAGAAGGACAATTTCCATGTTGGAGCAAAGGAATGGATGCACCTCAGAGGAGAAAACTTAGCACTGCTCACCATGGATTACTTCATTAAACACTTTTACATACAGCTGGGGAGAATTTGTTAGCATTAAAACTCTTGTGTTTCAGCCATATGTTTTAAGTGTGTATTCCTGTGAAGTTCAGTCCCACAACTCAAACTGGAAATGGTCATATACTACCTACATTAGCTTGTACAAAAGGAAAGCTAAAGTAAGATATACTTTAGCATATATATGACCATCATATATACACATGACCATTGGTTCTTCAGGATGATTTTTTTCCTCCAAGGATCGTGGCCACAACGAATTCATGGACAGTTCTCAGTTCATGAGCAGTTCATTAGCTCTGTGTTTTTTTTTTTTTTTTTTCTTATCTCCTTGATACACAGTGTGTGGCTCTGCCTTCCCAATTACAAAGTAATAGAAAAATATGTATTTGTTTATGTTTCATAATTTTAAACAAAATCCTCAGTGCACTCTTAATAACCTCAATTTTCTCCACAAGTCTACAGAAAAATATCTGTTAGTGTTGCCTGAAAAAGCTATGTGCTTGCTCTACCAACATTAGGCAACAAACATTCAGAGCATGTTTGTAAGAGTGAGTGAAACACAAAACTAAGATTTGATATGGAACTAGTCTGTTTTCATTCCTTGGTTTTAGAGTGAGAGAAAATAATTTCTGTGTGGTTGTTGTTGTTTCTTTTATGAAGGGAGAGTCTTCAGGGGGTTGGTAGGAGAGGGAGGGGAGTGTTGACGTGGGGCGAAGAACTGAGGCATTTCTCCTAAACGGTTCCTGAGTCTGGAATCTAGGAACACTTTGGCACTATGTGACTTTATTTTGCTCAGTCAGGTTTTTAGGGATAGCTGTTGTTTCCCTTTCCTCAGAAGATTTATTAAGGTATCATGTAATGCAAAAAAACTACTGCTCCTTCACAGTAATGATGGAGTTTCAAGGGAGGAATGATCAGCTTTTTGCCCTTCCTGGAGAATCAGGATGCCTGAACTCCAAAGGAATGATTTGGTATTGGAGGAGATGAGGATTTATGGGATGTTGCCAATATATCCTGCTTCATTTGAGTCCTGAGGGAAACCAAATCTCTATGAGCATTCACAGAGAAGACTTTGGTCTGTGAGAGATCAGTACATGCTGTTTTCCTTCTGGAACCCTGTAATGCTGAAGGCAAAACAGATCTTTTCTTTTTATTGTCCTATTTTATTGGGTTTTGTACTAGGTAACTTAGAATTTGTATCTTCTTCAATGAAGTAAAAAATCTGCTTAGCAGCTTAAGGTAGCAGTTCTGTCCTATTTGCTTTTGTGCTCTTTGTAGTTTAGTGTCATTGTTGCTATTTAGGAAAGCAAGTCAACAAAACAAATAAAAGCAGTTGCTTAATCAAGTGTACTGGACTTGCTTTATTAGTTCTCCAGATGTGGATGTAGGCTGGAGTTTTACCAGTGGATTTCAATCCCGTCTATCCCCAGCGTGCGGAATTTAACGCACAAGCACTCCCAACAGGTCGCTGACAGTCAGTTAGCCCAATTGAGCTTAGCTAGAGAAAAAACAGTAGTGCTTTTACAGGTAGTGTAGTGAATGTTGTTGTGAGCCTCGGTGTACAAATCTAGACGTTAAGTATTTCATTTCTGTTCATATCTCCTGTCTTTTGGTATAGCCAAATCTACTTGGAAAATCCAAGCATTCTCAGAATATAAAGACTCACTTCTTTATCTCTCCAGTTGCTCTAAAATATCAGAAGCTTAACAAAATTAAACTGATAGACTGGAACATGGAAAAAGGGAACAGGAACATGAGAAATCCTTGAAGACAGGAAACTGGTGATTTCGGAGAAACATGGCTTTGTTGCACTCTTCTGCGTGACTCTACCACCACCTCTCTACTGCTTAGCTTATTGCATTGCTGGATTGCTGACTTTCTTAAACATTGGTTTTTTTCCTATGTGACATAAAATCTGCATATTTGTGCCACCTGTAATTGCTTAGCTGGTTCTAGAGAAAAGACTGTTAATTTCTGGGATAGTTATCAAGAAAATATGAAAATAGGTAGTACATAGACATAATAACTATGCACACATAGGGGTTTTTCTTCAAACAAGTTGGGTTATTTTTTGCCGTTAGGTCCAGAACCTTTGCTTAACCTTTGCCTTTGATTGTCCATATCAGCCTTTGCTTTAGGTATGTGTCAGCGGAATTGGTGCTGCATTTTATCTGCAGCTTGGTATTTTTAATGGCTTCAAAAATGTCATTCAAAAAACTAGTCCGTGGTACTGTGGAATGCTGCACTCTGATCTTCCGAGGTTTTTGTTGTCCTGGTCGGTTGTGGTTCTCTTTTCCCCCTGTATGCTGGTACCGGTTGGAAGTGCTGCTTTGCCTCTGCCCCTTTCCCTCCGTCTCTGCCTCCCATGAAAGCTGCAGAAGATTCCGTGGAAAATGTACCCTTCAGCTGTGGCACCTGGAGCATCTGGGTGAAGATTCCAAATCTCCCCGCAGCTCCACAAGTCATTTACTTGGGCTAGAAAGATGAATTGACAAATGATAGTAAATCACAATTATAAAGCTCACTGCAGCAGTGGACTCGGGGGGCCTATGATGTCTCAACGATATTAAGATCCATAAGGCAAAAAATAGCTCAGCCTGCTTTTCAAGAGAGTGGGAAGGTGGATTCTGCTTCAACAACTGCATAGTTTGCCCTGTGTCCGTTTTAGTCGGTGAGAGCTGAATTTTGCCAAATACAGTTGTTACTACTGGTAGTTGGTAAGGCCTTGTTTTATTTCATTATAGACAAATGCAGGGACATCTTCCATTAGGAGAACTTTGCAGTAGCTTCCGTGCACTCTGATGAATTACAGTTGCTGTAAGAGTTAATTCTAATGCTGAGGCCGTATCTCAGAACCTCAAAAACCTGCTCTTTGGCTTCCTTTTAGGGTTCCCCCTTGCAGTAACTGAGGAACAGGAGGTGTAGCTCATTTTAGAGTAACTGGGTAATCCGACAATCGCCTGGAAATCACAGTGGGTGCCTATAAAACTTTAGGGTAAAGTCCCTGCAGTAACACTGCAGTAGGATGGCTTGTTCAGTGCAAAGCCCACCTGTAGGACGTGCTTTTGGAAACTGATGTTCAAAGTATGAACCTTCTAGCAAGAAGAGCTGCTTTGATACTGGTTTGGAGGATGGGTCTTGCCCTTCATTTCTTGAACCAGGACAGCCTCAGTTGAAAGTGACGATCATGTATGATATATCTGCGTCGCCCAGTAATGTGCTGCAAGAGGAGCCAGACCGACAGCGTCACAGCGCTGATCCCGGCCACCCTCTGCGTTTCAGCGGTGCTGCAGAAGGCACCGTGCTCTGTCTTCATCGCGTTTCCTGAGGCCAGATTCAGCTGTCCTGGACTAACTGTATAGCACCCCTATGTTTTCTGTTACTGCTTTCCTCACTCAGCGGAGCCCCAGGGAAGACATGATGCTGGAAACTACATATTACAGTGTAGTTTTAAAGGTAGCTAGTATTTTTCCTGATATTTTAATGTACACAAACATATATTTAAACATTTCATACAGATCTGAAAGAACTTCAGGATATATTTCTTGAGGGTAGGGAAGCAGAACTGTTTAAACTTCAACACAGTGGCTCTTAACATTCTTTCTGATACTTAAGTGTGTGCAGTAAGGATAGCATCTCAACTTCTTGGAAATTATTAAAGGTTTTTTTTTTTTTTTTAATGACTACAGGTCATAAAAACGCCATTTCAGCAAACCGTGTGCTACTCATGGACACCTGGACACGTACTGCTATGCAAATTAAAAATGCTGTTTTTTTCCTTACCTATTCAGACATTCGAAAATACAAAATCACATGAATGCAAACATACTCTGTAGCTT